TCTGTTATATCATTCAGCTGTAGGCATCAAGTGGCACTGCTTTAATTATTTCCTATTGATCCTAGTACATTTAGCCTTCACTTATCTTACTAACTGGATATTTAAGTGAAGCCTCATGTTGGGACATATTTCTTATGTGCACAATATCTGTGAGCTTTTGTTCTGAACTTTGCAGTGTTTGGGAGGCCAGTGTAAGCTAGTAATTGTAACCTTCTTCACAGTGCTGCCAGATGCCTAAGGAACATTTTTCCCCACTCAGTTGTATCTTGTCTTCACGATATGTTTTCTGGTGAGGACAGAGCCACTGCTGTACAGGGCCCAAGCTGTAAACATGGATGTGAGTAAATCCTGTGGGGATGTTACCATTGTTACCAACAAAATGGCACCGACACATGCATTCATGGCATGGCCCTTCTGCGTGGATTTTTTTTAGGCGTAGGGTCTCCCTATGTCTCCCAGGCTGAAGTACAGTGGCTATTCGCTGATGTGATCATTGTGCACTACAGTCTTGAACTTTTGGGCTTAAGCCAGCCTCCTGCCTCAGCCTCCCGAGCAGCTGGGACTATAGTCATGTACTGCACCTGGCTTTCTACATGGCATTTCTGATGGAAGAGTAAAAATGGTAGGACATGTTTTACAGCAGGCTTGAGAAATAGTGCTTGACCTATAATATTTAGAATAAATTGTTCAGGTAAAAATAGTTTCGCTCCTACCAAATGAATTACATACTCTTTCACTTGATGATAGGTACTTTGTGATCTTGACTCACAACTAAGTAACCATTATTATTCTGACATACATGGTTTCCTAAAAAACACATTTTTAAATTTTTTAGAGTCAGAAGAAACACTAGCTTTCCATGCTTCTGCTAGATGGGCATTGGGCTGTTTTAAAGTTTTTATTGAACCTCTGGGTTGGCTCCTTCATAGGTGCCAACTGTAACTGGAATTGGTTGACTTGTTTGTAATAACCACACAAGAAGCCATGATAACTCTTTAAGTGAGATGGTAATATCTGAATGTTTAATTCTGCATTTACAACTGTACGGGGAGACTAAACTAATTTTAGTTATTTTTGGAAGGTGTTTATTCTGTTCTTTATGATTCCAATAAAGCTATGACCCTCCACCCCCTCCTTTTTTTGGAAACAGGGTCTTGCTCTGTTGCCCAGGCTGGAGTGCAGTGGTGAGATCTCAGCTTACTGCAATCTCTGCCTCCCAGTCTCAAACAATTCTCCCACCTCAGTCTCCCAAGTAAGCTGGGGTTACAGGTGCACACCACCATGCTTGGCTAATTTTTTACTTTTTTGTAGAAACAGCTTCTCCCTATATTGCCCAGGCTGTTCTTGAACGCCTGGGCTAAGCAATTCTCCTGCAGTGGCTTCCCAAAATGCTGGGATTACAGGCGTGAGCCACCATTCCCAGCTGAACCATGGTACTTTAAAAAAGCTACCATGTATCATAAATTCCTTTGATGTGCTATACAACAGCAAACTACTGGGCACCTAGGGTTTAAGTAAGAGCCTGGGTAGTTGCCTATGATATACTTACCTGCTTTGGATGTGTTTTGAATTATTACTTTCTGTGAACTATTACTGTGCTATTTTCTTTTTTTATTTATGGTCAGAGAACAGAGAATGAGTAATTTTACTAACGAATGATTTTTTAAAAATAAGTGAAGTATTGCAGGTAGATTTTGTGTTGGGACAAGAGATTGCACAGACACGTACAACTCTGCTGGAATGAAAAGCAGCACATTTTGTCATAACTTTGCCCCTTTGCCCTCTACCTTGGTTCTCTATCGCTTTGCTCTGTGCAGGGAAGTCTTGCTAGAATCAACAAGAAAGCTACATTTGTACAGTGCCACTGGTCTTTTGCAGTCAGAGGTTATATCATGGCCCAGAAAGAACTGGAAGCTTTTAATTCCATTAAAGGGAGGCTCACATCCTTTGGACTCTTCTGGTCCCTGAACCTAACTCAGCCACCAGAAGCTTACATTTCTACCAGGGGAGGAACAAAGCAAGCAGAGGCTGCCCAGAACAGGCACAGAGCACTTTCTTCATCTTATTTAATTATTTTGTTTATTGTCTTTCTACTTATAATAGATTGTAAGCTCATGAGAATAGGAGGTTCTGCCTATTTTGTTCATTGCTCTGTTACCTGCACTAAGAATATCCCCTGGCAGATAGTAAGCCCTCAATACACACATGCTAATTGAGCCCATCATTTACCCAGCATCTCCCAAAGAGGTTTCTTTACACAAACTATCACAGTACTTATGGTGGTCCCTGGGGCCTATCACAGGGGATTTATCTGACTGTGACCTGCTTTTTAGATAAAGCCTTCTAAGTAAAGTTGTTATAAAATATAATTTATAAAAATTCCTTTAAATCTCACATGTTCTCATTATAAGCAGTTGGGTTAAAATTATCACAGATCTTCATTAGAGAAATTCAAACCAAAACCACAATGAGATACCATCTCACACCAGTCAGGATGGCTGTTACTAAAAAGTCAGCAAATAACAGATGCCGGCAAGGCTGTGGAGAAAAACGAACACTTATACACTGTTGGTGGGAGTGTAAATTAGTTCAACCATTGTGGAAGACAGTGTGGCAATTCCTCAAGGACCTAAAGATGGACATACCATTTGATTCAGCAATCCTACTGGGTATATACCCAAAGGAATATAAATCATACTGTTGTAAAGACATATGCACATATATGTTCATTGCAATACTACTCACAATAGCAAAGACATAAAATAAACCTAAATGCCTATCAATGATAGACTGGATAAAGAAACTATGGTACATATACACTATGGAATACTATTCAGCCATAAAAAAGAATGAGAACTCTTTTGCCTGCCGCCATGTAAAACATCCCTTTGCTCTTCCTTCATCTTCTGCCATGATTGTGAGGCCTCCCCAGCCATGTGAAACTAAGTAGCAGCAATTGGAGGCTTCCATTGAAAAGAATTATAACAACATGCAAATCCTGCACCAGGAACTAAAGTATCCAGGTTCTGTCATTAGAACTGATTGGGTGGCTGGCATGACCCATGGAGAGAAAGGAAGAGCAGTGTGGTATGGTGGCCCACCTGAGAGCCACATGGGGCAGGGGAGTCCCCACACTCCAGCCAAGGGAGGTGGTGAGTGAGTGTGCTACCTAGCATGGGAAACTGTGCTTTTTCCATGGAACCGTACCACCCATGGATCAGAAGATCCTACTTGTGAGCCCACTCCACTGGGGTCTAGGGTCCCAGCCAACGAGCTGCGCAGATTCTCAACAGCCACTCAGCTAGAATCTGCTTAAGTCTGCCAAGTTCCTGACTGAGGAGTGGCCAGCACCACAGCTGTGGCTGCCTGCTGTCTAAGCCATTTGAGCTCCTTGGGGGAGGGGCAGCAGACAACACTGGGACTGCTGGCTGCCTAACACACTAAGCTCCCAGAGTGAGGGAAGGATGGTAGCTATCACTGTAGCTCCAGGCCACGCTTTTCCCCTGCTGAAGCCAGGGAGGCTGGACGGGTTGGTCCCAAAAGGTGTTCCCCACAGTCCAATACACCAGCTGTGACAGGCTGCAGCCATAGTGCCTATTCAGGCCTGACCTTGACCCATCCCTTCTCAATGGGTGGAGCCTCCCTGTAGGAACTCCAGTAACTCCAGCCAGGGACTCAGGGATAGAACTCTGCTCTCCCTGTGCCTGAGCCCATAGTGGGAGGGGTACCCATAGTCTCCGTGGACTAGCAGACTTAGTCTTTCTTCCTGCTACTTCTGAGGAATCTAGGCAGCCCAAACAAGTGGGTTTCCCCCACAGAAAAGCACACCCCCTCTACCAAGGGACAGTCAAAGTGATTTGTTAAACAGGTCCTGCTCCCTGTACCACCCAACTGGGTGAGACCCTCCAACAGGGGTTGTCAGACACCCTATACAGGAACGTTCCTACTGGCATCAGATCAGTGCCCCTTGAGGTCAGAGATCCCAGAGGAGGGAGCAAGCACCTGTCTTTGCTATTCTCCAGCCTTCTCACCTTGAGTAACATCTTCAGGTTCAGGAACAAACCAGATAAATGGGGCGTGAAGTGAACCCCCAGCAAACTGCAGCAGTCCTGCAGAAGAGGAACCTGACCATTGAAAGAAAAACAAACAGGAAACAGTAACAACATCATCAACAAAAAAAGTCCCCACAAAAACCTCATCCAAGGGTCAAAAGCCTCAAAGATTGAAACTCTTAAGAGTTTCTCAAGAGAGAAACTCACTCAAGAGAGAAAGAATCAATGAAAAACACTGAAAACTCAAAAGGCCAAAGTGCCTCTTTTCCTCCAAATGATTCCAGCACCTCTCCAGCAAGGGCGCATAACTGAACAGAGGATGAGATGGATGAATCGACAGAAGTAGGCATCAGAAGATGGATAATAACAAACTCTGCTGAGCTAAAGGGGCACGTTCTAAACCCAATGCAAAGAAACCAAGAACCTTGATAAAAGGTTACAGGAGCTGCTAACTAGAATAACCAGTTTAGAGAGGAACATAAATGACCTGATGGAGCTGAAAACACAGCATGAGAACTTCATAAAACATACACAAATATCAATAGAATTGACCAAGAAAAAGAAAGGATATNGGATATGAGAGTTTGAAGACCATTTTGCTGAAATAAGGCACACAGACAAGATTAGAGAAAAAAGAATGAAAAGGAACAACAACAACAAAAAACCTTTGAGAAATATGGGACTATGAAAAAAGACCAAACCTATAATTGATTGGAGTACCTGAAGGAGATGGGGAGAATGGAACCAACTTGAAAAACACACTTCAGGATATTATCCAGGAAAACTTCCCCAACTTAGCAAGACAGGCCAACATTCAAATTCAGGAAACACAGAAAACACCACTAAGATACTCCATGAGTAGATCAACCCCAAGACACGTAATCATCAGATTCTCCAAGGTTGAAATGAAGGAAAAAATGTTAAGGGCAGTCAGAGAGAAAGGCCAGCTCATTGAATCTCCCCAAATGCAAAGTCATTTAGATGTTGGTAAGTCTCAGAAGAAATTGTGTGTTGGAATTATTACATGCTGGAGAGTTTGAAGCCATCTCTGGTGGAGAGGGTCCTTTGAGAAGTGTAGTCAACACAGAGCAGTCTTCTAGGTCTTCTAGATTTTTGACTATCTTTATAAGGCTCTCCACTGTGTCACAGGACAGCTTCCTGGAGGCATTGGCTCTGAACTTTTCCTCTAGGTCCTCCTGGCTCAGTGGTTTTCTCCAGTGCCCATAGAAGGTGTCAGAGCGATCTGTGAAGGTGGCTCCATCCTTGAGGGTGACACTTATTTCACAGTACAGTGTGTTGAAGCTTGGCAAATTGTCCTGAGGGTACTCCAGCTCCACCTTACTGAGCAGCTCTCTCACCTGTGGCCTGTTGATCTGGCATTCATGGAATGAGGGGACAGTGATGCCACCATCAAGCAGCATGGCACAGGCTATGTACTGGAATGAATGACGGGCTTCATGCTCCGAGTCTGGAGAGGGCCTATTTACGTACTGGACGTTTGGAATCCTGAGCACAATCCTCTTAATGTGGTCAATTGGAAGCAGAGTTTTCTCTGCTACAAGGCGCTTTCTTACACATGCAGCTGCATCTGCCACCCAGTGGGTAGATAAATGTGCAGGAAAACGCTTAAAGGCCACATCCTGCTGGTCCAGCAGCCAACTGTAGGAATGTAGGTTTGGAAGGACTTTTGGGGAATAGTTGGCATAAAAGGCCCCAAGTCCTGCCTCCAAGTCCAAGATCTGCTTGTTTCCTTGGAGACCCAGCATTGCCAGAAAAGCAGCTTCTATCCCATGCTTGGCAGCATTGCCAATGTGGAGGGGCTTGGTTTGAGTGGCAGCATTTGCCATGGGCGCCCCAGCATGGGAAACAGCAATGGCCAGGGCTTCTTGGCACTTTGTCAAGCTAAGTCCTAAAAACTTGGACGCAGCAGCAGCACTACCCAACGTTCCTACCACAGAAGGGGGATGGAATCTGAAAAGCAAAGAAGCATAATTGGAGATTTACAAACCTTAACCACCAGGAGGCAGGATAGTGTAGTCATCAAGAGCATCAGTAATGGAGTCACACTGCTGGGTTCAAATCTCATCTCCGCTACTTTATTAGCTGTGTGATCTGGGGAAAGTTATTCAACTTCTCTGTAGATTTTTTTCTTACACAATATGGTGATAGGCCAGGTGCGACGGCTCATGCCTGTAATCCCAGCACTTTGGGAGGCCAAGGTGGGAGTGGCATCTGAGATCAGGAGTTTGAGACTAACCTGGCCAACATGGTGAAACCCAGACTCTACTAAAAATACAAAAATTAGCTGGGTGTGGTGGCAGGTGCCTATAGTCCCAGCTACTTGGGAGGTTGAGGCAGGAGAATCTCTTGAACCTGGGAGGCAGAGACTGCAGTGAGCTGAGATCACGCCACTGCACTCCAGCTCGGATGACAGGAGACTCTGTCTCCAAAAATAAATAAATAAATAAAACATAAAATGGTGATAATAATAACATCTACCTCTTAGGGTTTTAGGAGTTTTGAATAAATTAACATGTTTACAATAGTGCCTAACACATAGTGAGTTCTTTATAAATGGTACCATTACAATTATTGGCAGAAAGGCAACAGCTACTGATTGCCGAAATCTTATGTAAGTAGCTGTGACAGTTGCAGGCCTTGAAGAAACTGTGAAACGTCACCACCTAGTATTTCAATTTACTCCTCTCCTAGAAGGCTGGAGCAAGTGGCATGGAAATCTGAGACTGAGCCATATGACGTGGCTGATGTTTGACCATTTTTGATCTGCAGGATGAACAGTCAGGGTTAGGATATTCTGAGTGTTCTCAGTAGTCTGAGGGATGCTAGCCAGTCTCAGAGTAGATTCTGCTTTGAGGTTGGGATAAGGAATGCTCAGCACACTCATGAATGCCAGAATGACATGAGTCATCTTGTGATGAGAGGCCCAATGTATTTCATGGTTCTGGTTGCACTCCTGAAGTCACGTCTTTAAATGTGAATAGAGGGTTTCATATTTGACCAGTGAATTGACTTATCTACCTGCACTAATGTTAACATCTGCTGAGCTGGCCGCTAAGTCAGAAAACTCTACAGAGATAATGATTGACAGATGAAGGAGATGTGACTGCCTTTTGATGGGGCAAATTCTCTCCATACCTTTTTGGTATGTCATTGGCTTCCTTGGCGAAATGCAGTAATCGGCCTTGCACTTCTATACCAACATTGAAAGCCAGCAGCAGGTCAAGGCCAGAAAACTTCGGACTTCTTGGGAGAGCTTCTGCTAAAGCTGTGAGGACAGGAAAGACAGCCCCAGAAGGGTGGGTGGCAGGGTGCCACGTGTCATCAAAATCCATGGAGTGAATCTATGTAGAGACACAGCAACAAAAAAACCGTACGTTTTCCCTTGATGCAATGGCTTTTGGATCACTAAGGACTTGGTTTAGTAATAACCTTGTTTTGTGTGAGATTGTTTTGATTCTCTGGAAAGAAAATCTGAGAACTGACTGAGGTTTTCTTTTTTTTTTTTTTCTGAGACAGAGTCTTGCTCTGTCACTCAGCCTGGAGTGTAGTGGTACAATCTCAGCTCACTGCAATCTCTGCCTCCCAGGTCCAAGCAATTCTCCTGCCTTAGCCTCCCGAGTAGCTGGGATTATAGGTACCTGCCACCATGCCTGGCTAATTTTTGTCTTTTTAGTAGAGATGGGGTTTCGCCATGTTGGCCAGGCTGGTCTTGAACTCCTGACCTCCTGATCTGCCTGCCTCGGCCTCCCAAAGTGCTAGGATTACAGGCATGAACCACTTCACCTGCCCTGGGTATGGTTTGTAATCACAAGACCAGGCCCTGAGAAATGCTTTTCCTCTGCCAGAGGAGGGCAGGACCTTGGAGAGCAGTTTGTGAGCCTCTAGGAGCTTGGGTCTTGACCTGGTAGCGTGAGCACCCTCTGCCATGGCCCCTGGAAGGATCTATATTCCCCTTTAAAAACAAAGCTGCAGAATCAGGTGGCTGGCAGTTTCTTGCTCCTCCACTCTTTAAATAAGTTGCACTGAAAGTTTAATGTCACTTATTCCATATGAGGCCATATATTTTTGTACCTTTTTCTTATGAACTAATTTCAAATTTTTAGGGAATTTGTAAGAATAGCACAAGAATTCTCGAACTTAGGTTAACTTTTCAGCTATATTTTAAAAATTATTATTTTCTGCTTTAAGATTTCATTCCTCTTTATCCTAGCCATTTTCTTTTTTCCTTATATTAAAACAGCAATAACCAGAAGTTCATTTAAAAATAGATTTTTATATCTATTTCCTGTCACTGGTGCATTTCCCACTGCTTTCAGGACATTACTTTGGAACACACCATTGGCTTTAACTTTCAATATCCTGAGCTATTGTCCCTATAAATCATAAAAACATCTCAAAAACCCCAACATGTCTATTTCCAAATTACATCTTGTAGAATACTTCCCCTGACACACAGAAAAAGCATAAAAATAATCTGTCAGATGAGAAGTACTGATTTTTTGGTTCAGAAAATACAGACACTATATGGCCATTGTTCCTTTCTCAATAACTGTCTGTTAAACAGATGAATGAGTGAATGAATAAAGAGCACATTACTGGAGAGAAACTGGCCCCACAACATGAAAACTGAGAAGAAATTGGAACTGGATATTTGGTTTTATATTTTTTGCTATTTATATTCAAGATTTTGAATTGGGATACCTTAGGGTGTTTTTATCTAAATCCTTCCATCTTCTTTCTTCTACTACACAATCTGTTTGAAAAACATCAATTTACTGTAAAAACATGAAAACTGAATTACTACCCAGGAGAGAGGGTAAGCCACTTTACCTCTCTGACTTTCAATTCTTTCATCTGTAAAATATAGAATTGGGGCAATTACTGAGATATCCCCTGACTCTAAAATTATTATGATTATCTAGTAGTTGAAAAGACGTGTAAACCTCCTTACAGCCACACCATTCACAAAAGTAGCATATGTGGGTGGGAGCCTGATGTCCGGCCGACCCCAAACAGTGCTGGATATATTGCAACTGTAGATCTGGAACAAAAGCAAATCAACCAGTGATAGTGTGAATACAACATACCAAGTCACCATTTCAAGAGTTATTCTTCATCTCTGGACATATTATGCGTAGTTCTTACTTGAACCCTTGTCACAGATAGAAGCCCTAGTCATTGAATTCCTCTCATCTTTGTAGAATACACAACTTTCCCCTATAAAAGGTGGAGGGGATGCTGTTGCTTGATCCCAGATCATGATCCAGAAGTGCTCCAGGGAAGCACATCTGAAGTTACTCTTATTTACTCCTTGGGGTAAATGCCAGAGAAGATTGACTAACCATCTATATCAAATACACCCCAGGGAGAGCAGGAGCCCTCATGTACATGCCCACTTTCTGGTCAGAGTACTTGACCAGGCTTTTCTCCAGAGAATAATAATAATGAACTGTGAGATATTACTGGTATATGGGTTTTTTGTTTATTTATTTGTTTGTTTTTGAGACCGGGTCTGGCTCTCTTGCCTCAGCTGGAGTGCAGTGGCGTGATCTTGACTTACTGCAGCCTCAACCTCTTGGGCTTAAGTGATCCTCTCACCCTCAGCCTCCCAGATAGCTGGGACTGTAGGCGTGCGCTGTCACACCTGGCTAATTTGTGTGTGTGTGTGTATGTGTTTTTTTTTTTAAGAGATGGGGTTTTGCCATGCTGTCCAGGCTGGTCTCAAATTCCTGGGCTCAAGCAGTCTGCCTGCCTCAGCCTCTGGAAGTGCTGGGATTATAGGTGTGAGCCATCATGCCTGACTGTGTATGGTTTTAAGACAGTGACTTAGTAAAGAATATGGATTAATATTAAATCTCAGATAATGAAACATAGAAAATTATATAGAACAGTGCTACATACATCAAGTGCTGTCTATAAAACTTAGAGTAAATGTAACACAAATGTATGCACTGGGTTTTGTCTCTAAAGTTGACTTTGAGCTTCTTACCTTGCTATATTGGCTGGCTGTGTGAAACACTTCTGTACTGGTTCCCAAGAACCCAGCACCCAGAGTGTCTAGAATCATCCTCTTGCTCCTCTGAATAGCACGATCTGTCAGGTGTCCCGCTTTCAAGCCGTGGATTGTTTTGGCGAAGCTTTCTGTGACAGACTTTAAATGGAAGAGTGTCAGAACAGGGCTACACCTCCCTCTGTACTTACACACTTCTGTTCTATAAGAGACCTTGGGGCACTTTTGTGTAAAGAGTTTTGCTCCACTAGAAGAAACCCAGTTGATCCAATTTAGTTTAATTTCTAAAAAAATGATGTGTACTAAGCACCTACTATGCATGAGGCAGCACAGCAGCCAGTTTCTGTCCTCAGTTAAGTTGAGGGGCAGGATGGCAAGCACAGGATACAGCACTGTGTGATGGGTGGTAGTGGAGGGAAGCACAGGGAGTTGTGGGGGGAGGATGGGAGGGACACTTCATCTGTGTAATAGGGATTTCTCCCAGTGCAGTGCACTCAGCTGCTATTGTGAGATACGTGCCAGGCACTGTGCTGAATATCTCAAATACATTACCCACTTAGTACCCACAGGTCTCTAGGTAGTTATTTTTGCGGGTGAGGAGACTAAGACCTAGAAAACTCAAGTCACTAATGTTCACAGCTTTTAAATGGTGGAATCTGAACATAAACCCTTATGGGTCTAACTCTGCAATCAGTGCATCTAGCTATCAAGTATCAAAATGGTCTGATGAGCATGTACCTCACAACACCTTGGATTCTTGCTGAAAATGAAAATTTCTGGTCCCCACTCTAGACCACCAAAATTAGACACTTCCCAGAAATAGACCCTCTGGAAGCATAGCACAGGATTCTGTTTTCATTAGGATCCCTGAGACGTTCTTAAGTGCTCTGGTCCTCTTATGTGCAATATGGCACTCTCTCCAATGTGACTACTGAGCATTTGAAATGCAGTAAATTGAGATGTGTCATAAGAGTAAAATAAAGACTGAATTTTGAAGGTTTATTAGAAAAAAAGAATATAAAGCACCTCAATAATTTAAAAATATTGATTACATGCTGAATCAATATTCAATACATTGACCAAGTGCAGTGGCTCTTGCCTGTAATCCCAGCGCTTTGGGAGGCTGAGGTGGATGAATCACTTGAGGTCAGCAGTTCAAGACCAGCTTGGCCAATGTGGTGAAACCCCGTCTCTACTAAAAATACAAAAGTTACCTGGGTGTGGTGGTGGGCACCTGTAATCTCAGCTACTTGGAAGGCTGGGTGGGAGAATCACTTGACCTGGGAGGCTGAGGTTGCAGTGAGCCAAGATTGCATCACTGCACTCCAGCTTGAGCAACAGAGTGAGACTCCTTCTTAATAAAAAAGTTCAATATATTGATATCAACATATGAATAACATGTGGGATATGGTGTAAATAAAACATGTTATTAATGTATCAGTTTCTTCTAAACATTTTCTAACATTTAAAATACTAGAAAATTTTAAATTACACATGTGACCTGAGAACCACTGCCTGCTCTTTGCTGTTGGCGGAGACATTGATACTTGATCTCGTTGTGAAAACTTAAGCATGGTCATCAGATAATGGTGCAGGGTGATGTAATTGGAGGGTAAAGGTAGAAGTAGAAGTGAGGGCCAAGGCTGGGAGGTGTGAGAGAGTGGAAGGAGTCTGCCTCCCTTCAGCTACAGAATTGCATGCAGGAGACAAAGGTGAGCGGGAGAGTGGATTTGCAGCTTATGACCCAATGATGAACATTATGTCATGCTCAAGACTGTGATGTCAGTGGGGAGCCAAAGTGCTGTCTTTAGAAAAGTAGAGATATGGTCAGAACTGATGTTTTGGAAAGATTTCTGTAGGCAATTGTGTAGAGTATGGATTGAAGAGGGCTAGACAGGGTCAGTGAAAAGACTGCTACAGTAGCCCAGGCTCTGGATGGGAAATGGCAGCGCCATTGGCCAAGGGAGAAAACACAGGAAGAGGAGCAGGCTTCTGAGCAATGGTGATGGCTCAGTGTGAACTTGTTGAATATGAACTATCTGTGGTCATCTCACTGGAGAAGATCATTCTACTTCTACCCATAAGCCAGATAAGAAAAATGTGCAAGATTATTTGTATTTCATAAGCAGTGGAATACTCTACAATTCCTTTAAAATTCAAATTCTTCAATATGTAGATATTACATATTTTGTTTTCTACATATTTTCACAAGAGAGCATCCTTATGTAGAGTCAAAAACATCCACTCTTAAGCCAGGTTTCACTGTCTGCCCACCACCTAGTGAATATTGAATTGCTTCCCTTTCTTGCTCTGGTTACTACATCATTGCACAACTTAATTTGTCTCTCTCAACATCAGATACCTCATTTTTAAATCTTAGCTGTAGGGTGAGGGGTTATTGGATTAGGCGACTTGAGGTGTCTGGGGTTCTCGGATACTGAGCTCAGTGCCAGGACAGAGCTACAGAGATGGAAGCCATGCCTAGCTAAATGTCCTTCAACATGGCCACCAACTAGTCCCATTTATAGCGTCTCAAGTCAGATTTACCAAGTCGAGGAGCACTTGACATTTTCAAAAGGGTGGGCTACTTTTTATGTCTCTGAGGGTTTTAATAGAAAGGCAGGGGGTAGGGTTTGGGGTGGGGGAGAGCAGAAGAGCAGACGGCTGGGAGAGAGAAAGGGTGCTGGCACAAAGTTTTCAGATCAGGGTGGAAGGATAACAGTAATGTTGGCTTTCATGCTGCTAGAAATTTGAGTTAAAATATTTTTAGGGGCAGAGGGAAAGAGGAAGACAGGATTAAAACTTATGAGCTTTGAATATTGATTGGATCCCTGACTCCAAGCAAAATGACCTCTTTTAAACCTCTCTTCCCACCCCTATAAGTCCCGCAGTTGGGGGCATGTAGTGATTGATCATTCATCTCTTCAGGGCGAGATCTGACCCAGGGGTATCTTATGGGGGAATGTGAGACCAGGGAGCAGGTGGGAGGTGGGGTGGTGACATGGAGCCCTGGAGATAATTGCACCGTCCATCCATATCAAACCATGCTGCTGGTGATACAGGAAGCTGGAGCCCTAGAATCCTCTGGAAGCCATGAACGGCACACCGTATGCCAAAGAACACATGGCTGTCCCTGACCAATGAAGGAATAAAACATGAGGGAAATTAAACGCATAGTTGCTCAGCTGTCAGTGGGCCTTGTGTTCATCTCTTTCTAAAATATCTTTCTGATCTGCTTGACCATCTCATGGCATTTGTATCACTTTTTAAATACAGTGATTATTAATGTATAAGTTAAGGCATAACATAAAAACCATTGAACAAATCAATTTCACAAGTTCTTACTGTGAGTCTAGCACTGTTGTAAGCTCTCAAGAATGCCAAGTGAACACGTGATAGTTCCTGCCTCAAAAAACTTATCTTCTACAGAAGGTGGTGATAGTAAATAGATAACCAGAAACACAATCTGGCAGTGTCATAATGGGCACATATAAAACTAGGTAGTCAAAATTCAATGAAATTGTCACGATTTATCTCCTCCCTAACTTTATACAATAGAATCATTTATCTCATTTGTAAAACACTGATGAAAGCCACCATGCCGTTAATTAGGTAGCCCACAGGTTATTAAGAAAAAGCAGAAGCAGGTAATTCTTAAAAGGAGAGGGCAACTGAAGAAATTGAGGAAGGAAGAAGTCAGCTAGAAAAGCAATTTAAGTAAGCCACATAAAATACTACAATACCTTGAGCACCATTTTGTTGTAAAGAGGAAGTTCAGTTCAGGAGGAGTGAACCAGAGGAGTAATTTGTTTGCTGGATGTCTGACTGCCTTTATACCCTTCACTCCTCTTAAACCCATTTCCTTTCATTTGTTCTAACTCTAGAATTTCTATCATTTCAACACCTCCTGACTAGACTCACTTTAACTTCCTCTTTAATGAATTGTTTGACTCTTCAGTGGATGAATAATTCAATGAGGCTAAAACATACAGTAATCATGATCATATGATTCCTCACAGGCATCAGAAAAAGTAAATTTATGGTAAAACTAGGATTCCCTTTTGTGCCTAGATAGCTTATGTCAATATCAGAAGAATATTCACACTCTTTTAACTAGGTATTCCACTTCTCAAAATTTATCATAAGGAAATAAACATGGATGTATGGAAAATTTTAGGGAAAAAATTCCACATGCACACAACAAAACACCCTTGCTTATAACATCAAAAATTGGAAACAATGCTGGGTGTATTGGCTTATATCTATAATCCCAGTGCTTTGGGAGGCCAAGGTGGGAAGATTACTTAAGGCCAGGAGTTTCAGACCAGCCTGGGCAGCAAAACAAGACCTTGCCTCTACAAAAAAATAAAATAAAATAAAAACCAGCCAGGTGCGGTGACACATGCCTGTAGTCATAACTACTTGGGAGGCTGAGACAGGAGGATCACTTGAGCCCAGGAGGTTGAGGCTGCAGTGAGCTATGATCACACCACTGCTATCCAGCTTGGGTGACAGAGTAAGACCCTCTCTCAAAATAAAAAGAAAAGAAAAGAAAAGAAAAGAAAACCATCAAATGTGCCCAAATATTGGATTGGTTAAGTAAAATGTGGCATGTGCAATATTTAAGGTGCTCCCATTTTCCCCTTCAACTTCACCCTGTTGGTCACCATTGTCTAGAGTCAAATGTGCCAGCCAGAAGTTTCTGGGAACTTGAGACTAAGAACCTGGAAGGGCATTGGGGGTTAATGACACTTTTTCCTAGCTTGTACCCTTGCTCCTTCCTAAACTGCTCTTTCCATATACACACATCTCTGGTTCTTGGTTCTCTGCCTGGCTTCTGAAATATAGTGCCTTCCTCCCTGCCATTCTGCTATTGCAGGAGTCTGCTTCAACACAGCTTGTCTAGGCCTCTTTGCCTATAATCAATTACTATGATATGCCTTACCCAGAATTAGCTCTGCTTCTCTGGGCAATTGCCACTTCCCTTGGACTTCCTAGTCCTGGCCAATTGGTTTGCACTTACAGTGGGTACAAAAAACAAGTGATTTCAAATCTGAGCCTGTTGTTCTAGATATGATGGCACAATTTGTCTTTGGAGAAGACTGCATTTCAATTATGGGGGAAATCTTCATGAGACTTGAGGTTCCATTTCAATCCTATTGACAGACAGTTTTGGGACAAAGCAGTTAAAATGCTCTGTGTAAAAATGCAAAAGCCCATCTTTCTTGTGGGCAGGAGATCTCTCTGAGAGATGAAGTTAGGTAATTGTGCCTGTGTTGGTTGAAGCCTGTAGAGAAAGAATGTTAGGGCTCTGGAGACAGGGCTAAGAGCAGGGTCAGTGGGAACCCCCATGGATTGGTTGAGGTTGTATGATGGCTATAGGCTAGGAGCTGCAGGGGGAGGTGACCAGCAGGAAACCCTGCATCAAAGGAAATAGGCGGACAGATTTAAAGAGCAATGAGATCAAATGTGTAATTTGAAGTTTATTTTCAGCATAAAAATTCCCCAATGGTATCCTTATATCTTTAGGAAAATTTGTTACGTATTACAACCTAATGTTAGCCATGTTTTGGGAAATGAAGGAAGAGGAAGTTGATCATGCATGAAATAGAAAGGGCTGGTCAGAGAAGCTCAGGGTACCAGTCAGAGGGAGAAGGGCCCAGCAGCAGTCAGGGGAATATAGGTACTTTTTGGTTATCCTAAGTAGTTCATGAAGAGTCAATGGAAGTGGGGTGTGATTGTACATACTTGGGTGTAGAGGAGAAGAATGCAGAAGGATGAGCACTTGGGGATGTTTGAAGTCTTCTAAGCCAACTGCTACCTCAAGTGGGTTTCCCAATCATGGTGCAGAGTGAGGAAACCCAGACCTAGCTTCTGTGTTGACATAGATGGTGGTTTTATGCATCAAGATACCACTTCAGATGACCTTTATTTTATTTTGGTGGGTTCCAAAACCAGCTTCCCTTAGATGGGTGGATTCCTGTGTCAAAAGAACAAGATGAGTATTTTGGGACCATTGTGTAAGAACAATCACAGTATAAGATTCTGTGATTCATTGCTGAATACTCTACATAAATTGATGTTTAGGGTAATTTTATCAAGTTGAAAGGAAAGACATCTAGTTTGATAAATACTTAAACCTATCTTAAGCATTAACCTAGTTGAGAATTCTGGAGTTTTCAGCTTAAATGTCTATGTTTATTCCATTTATATGCACACAATAATGTAGTAGATTCTTTTATTTCCAAAAACAACCTTCATGAAAGTTTTCACTAGTATTACTCCCAATTTAAATAAGAGAAAGTCAAGTTGAGAGTGAGGTTTGGAGTTGAGGCTCCTTGGATCACTGCTACTTGAAAGTAAAGAATAGATTTTGATGGGCTCTGCCATCTCACGTGTAAAGGCTTCCTAAAGGAATGATGAGATTTATCAGGTCCCTTGAACTTTAATGGAAGTTCCATCATTTAGTTTCTTTGTGCCTCTGGTTTTGCCAGTATTGCATTCAGAAGAATTAGTTCAATTACTTGCTAGTTTAATTATTTACTTAGTATTTTTAGGTAACTGTGATCAGCTCAAAGACTAAGACTCTTGGTAATCAGAGTCACTTTCCCTTAGTACATTGTATATTGTTAGGAGCTCTCCACTCGGAAACAATTGATTTTCTGTTGCCTTTCACTTCTAAATCTAAATAGAAGCCACAGCTATTGTTTTCAAATGCACATATTCTCTTTGATCGCTCACCTGGAGGAAGCAAGGTCGTGAGTCCTGTGGAGAGGGCCACATAGGGAGGAATGGAAGGCTCTTGTTAATCTTTCCATGGCAAGTCAAGTCTTCAGAGACTGCAGCCTGGCTGGCAGCTTGACCCCAACCTCATGAGAGATCCCAAGCAAGAGTCACCCAGCTAAGCTGCTGCAGGATTCCTGACCCTTAGAAACTTGAAGCGTTGAGATAGTAAAGTTGTATTGTTTTAAAAGGATACATTTTGAGTTAGTATGTTACACAGCATATTAGCATTCTCCAGAGGAACAGAACCAATAGAATGTGTCTGTGGGGTGTGTGTGTGTGTGTGAATGCATGTGTGTGTGCATGCATATTACAAGCAATCTGGAGACCAGTTGAGTGCCAGTTCATGTCTGAAGGCTTGAGAACCAGGAGAACCAATGATGTAGTTCTAGTCCAAATATGGCAGGCTTGAGACCCAGGAAAAGCAGATGTTTCAGTTTGACTCTAAAGAAAGGAAAAAACCCCTTGTGTCAGCTCAAAAACTGTGCGTGGGTGGAATTCCCTCTTATCCTGGAATGGGTCAGCCTTCTTGTTCTATTCAGGACTGCAACTGATTGAATGAAGCCCATTCACATTAGGGAAGAAAAATCTGCTTTACTCAGTCTACTGATTTAAATGTTAGACTCATATAAAACATTCTCACTGAAACATCCAGAGTAATGTCGGACCAACTATCTGGGTACCATGTGACCCAGTTAAGTTGATACATAAAATTAACCATCACATATAGCAATAGATAGTTAATAAAGCCCCAAGCTGATAATATGACTTATAAGGGCCCTTATAGGATTGTGGTTATTTCTTTATGCTCATATCAAACTTAGCATCTGCCACTCACCACCAATTATGGGGACGTGATTTTTATTGCCTAAGGGAACTTTGTAGCAGTGATTCCCTCTTACTTCTCATGTCTTCTGTCCCTACCCTTCTACACTTTTCTTCTCCTTCACTCTACAACTTCCCTGTCCTTATCTGTCATCTAAGCCAGTGATTTTAACTGGGGATAAGTTTGTTCCCAGAGGACATTTGGCAATGTCTGGAGATATTTTGGTTGTCACCAAATTGTGGCATCTTGTGGGTACAGTCCAGGTATGTTGCTAAACATTCTACAATGTACAGCACAGTCCCAACAACAAAAGAATTACCAGGCCCAAAATGTTAATAAAACCAAAGTTGAGAAAACCCTGTCTAAAGGTTTACACATTTTTTACTTTAAGAAGTTACATCTAGAGTTGGGCCCATGCTTACAATCCCAGCATTTTGGGAGGCTAAGGCAAGAGAATCACTTGAGCCCAGGAGTTTGAGACCAGCCTGGGCAGCATAGTGAGACCCCATTGTGTCAAGCCAGGTGTCACTAATGCAGACCTCCATAACAACTGTTTCAGCACTGACTGAATGGTTAAATATTAAAAGCTGATAGAGCCAGTGTCCTCATACAAAGGCTAGAATGTAACAAAAGCCCACCAAGAGTTGTGCCTAGGTCTTTTCCAGGTCTTAAAGCAAGACAAAATAACGAAGGAATTCTTAACAGGACCCTTGTAGAATTAAACAAGTTTTATTGTGAGTCTGAAGGAACTCCCCAGACCTCCACAAACAAACTTTACTGAGGACTAAAGGAACTCCCCAGACCTCCATGGTCTTGTCTCCATGAGACAAAATAAGGTTAATCACTCCAGTACTTGAATGCATTTAGATTAAGTAAATTTACTGAGGCTCCAGAGGAAGATCTTCAGGACTCAGATCTTAGTTATAGATTAGAAGAAGTTAATCATGTATGTCTTCAGATGAATGCACACCTACACACAGACATATAGCTTAGAAGGTATACAAGCTCTGGAAAACTTTGTAAATTTGAGTTGGTCTGGTGATCATTTCTAGGCCTTCTCCCTGTAACTGGTTACAGAAATAAGAACATTTCTTCTTTCCCAGTTCATCTGCATCTCATTGTTGGGCCATAAGAATAAGCAGTCCAACCCTCAGGTTGGTCCAGGAACACAATCTCTACAAGGAAAAAAAAAAG